AGCATCTTCGCTGGCTGCCCGATATCAGTACCCCAATAATCAAAGGGAGAGGCGGGGAGCTAGACAGTAGCGATCAAACTGCTGCATCTTGGAAACCGCTGGAAAGAGATTTGGGCAGAAAATATTGACCGTTGCAATCTGACCCTCCAGGTGTATTTTCCATGTTTCACACAGAACCTGTGTTCCCCACATATTTGTCATCTCTAGAAAATGGTCTCTAAATATAAAACTACAAATTGCTCCTAGCCTCAGCCTACACATAAGCCCATGAAAACGCGATCGTTAACAGGTATACCATATTTTAAAGAGGTGACATTTGCATCAAAACTCAACCCTCTGTCTGTGTGGATCGTGGCAAAAAAGGTGAAGTGTCTTGTTAATTAAGAAATTGTTTTCCCATATAGGAAGCAACAGATGGCTCCCACACCTGGGGTTACACCAAGAATGAGGAGGGTTGTTCTAAAAATGGTAAACTAACAACTTCTTGCAGCTAGGAAATGTATAGCACGGCCATAAACATTCCCACCGAGGGCGTCATTAAAAAGCTATTTGAAACATGTTAAAATGTGAGGGGATGGTAGGTATTTGGAATAACCTGTTATTGTTTACTGCCCGGTGCAACTCCCTGGTAGGAAGTTAGATCGCCGGTGCGTTTTGTGTTATGCTTCCTCTCCTTAGGACAACAGTATAGCAGCAATTACTTTGAAGTATGATTAAATAAAGACATGAAACCCCTGGCACTAAACACGGACATTTTGTGCAGTGAAATCTTTCAGCGTGTTCGGGGGCGGGCTTCAGAATGAAGGAAGTAAAAACCCACCGAACTTGAGTTAAATTGCGCTTTCGGAGCGAGGGAGTCCTGGTGCCCTAGAGTGGGTTTTAATCGTTGCCAGTTACGTTTGCACTACAATACCGGGGTCTCGGCGTGTAAAATGAGAAGCCCTCCAGTTCATGTGTTTCGGGGGGCCGGAGGGGGGGAAGCCAGCCCCAAAACCCCAAAAGTTGTAGATGAAAAATATACGTACCTCGCTGTACCAATTAGCATGTCCACTGTGCACATGCAGTTGGGTAGCAGTTTTGTGTCGCTTGCTGTCTTCATATTTGGTAGAAAAAAGAGTGTGTGAGTTTCTGAAAACAAAGGAGAAACTTAAAAGGCTGCTATAGGCTTAGTGGAGTCTAGACAGAATGAAACTGAACAATCTTGGAGACTCTCCATATGAATCCTCTGCGGGGCTGATCCCAGGCAAGCTGACCTTTAGCTTGTATTTTATGTTGTATTTTTATTTTGCTGGGCAGAAGGGAGCCTGTTCTGGGTATTAAATCATAAAATGACTCACACCGTATTAAATATATAACTTTAATGCTAGCCTCCCTGGCACATGGAGTTTTTTCCCCTAGGGAAGCTTAAATAGTTTAAAAATGTTTGATTTGTTACAGTCGTGTCAAATAAAGGTACAGGTAAAGATAGGATATTTTAGCAAATTAGGCGATACAATCTATATTGCGTATAGGCAGGGAGAAATCAGGAGAAACCATCTAAACTCTTTTATAAATTAAATCTGAGTTTGCATCTTTGGGAACAAAGTTTTAGGAAACCAGCTAAAAGTAAAATCGTTAAATGTACTCCACAGGGCATATGAAGAAAGGGTCAAAATCCAAAATTAGGAGAAGTGATAAAAAGAACAGTACTGCCTGATATTGATTTTCAGTGTAATCTACAGCTGTCTCATTGCAAAAGAAGCTGCAATTTTGCAGTAAATACATGTAATCTGTGCATCCTTTTCGATATATTGTGCTTTTCAAAGTGAATGCTGCCGTTTTAGCTGTGAAATCCTGCCCCCCTTTTGTTATTTCACTGGCACTAGGTGTGTGCGAGACAGAGAGGCCACTGAGGCTCTTCTGGTCTTCTGCAGACCTCAGTGCTGTCCTGGCCTTCAGTTTGTCCGCTGGGGAACAGAGCTCTCTCTCTCCAAGTCCTTGGTGTGCGGGTGCGGGTGGGAGGAGGGGTGCGGATGCAGTAGGGCCTTGCCTCCGGTTTGTCCTTGGTTTCCCTTTCTGAGTGTGCCAAAGTGCAGCGAGCAAGACACTCCAGGTTTGGAAACACCAGGCTCAACCTGAGAGACAAAGGGAAAAGTGAGAGAAGGGGGGAGGGAAGAAAGGTGGGAGAGAGGAGACGGACGAAGAGAAAGAGCTGCCGCGATAGAGACGGAGGTCTTGCTCGCAGAGCTGCATCTGCCCAGCCCAGACGGCTGTGTACTGCCCATTGCTTCCCGTCCCCGGAGAACCCTTCAGCCCCACGGATGCATGCGTGTGTGTTTGTGCTGTCGAGCCGTGTGTGGCTGTATACAAAGTCCGCTGGGAGCCCTGCTAGGCTGGCAATCGCCATAGGAATCACTGGGCTCAGAGAGGAAAGACGGTTTAAATGTATTATGAACTATTACTAACAACAGAGGCGGTGTGGCCCTGCCTGGGTCCTGGGAAAGCCGGGCAGCCTGGAGCGGGGAGGCGATTGCTTTACTTCAGGCAGCGGGCGAGCCAAGTCAAATTCAAGTTCAAGTTCATGGCCAGTCTGGCGAGGGGGGGGGAAGCCGTTCTCATGATCACGGTTGTTGCCCTCCCTTCCCCAGGGCCCATCGTGAAAAGGCCGCTTTGTTAGCCAGGCGGCGGGGACTTGTTTCACTTTTCTGTATCTGCTGCTGCTAAATAATGGCCGGGAGAGAGCCCAGCCCCGCTGCGGTTCTGGTGGTGATGAGGCTTTGGGGCGGTTATTGTAAAATATAGCGAGTGGGTCCTACGGCAGGGATCTCACGCCAAAACAGAGATTAGGCTCCAAGGAATGAAAACACAAGTCCAGCTGGGGGGCGGGGGCGGCGGAGGCTCCGGTTCCAGGGCCGGGGAAGGGAAACCACAGTCGACAGCAAGCGATGTACAAACTTCTCCCGACGCTCGGGCGGACGGGAGCGGAGCGGAGCGGAGCGGAGCGCGGAGCGGCCATCGGTAGCTCCTGCGCTCTCTGGCCAGCCACGGAGCGGGGAACCGGCGGGCGAGCCAGCCAGAGCCCCGAGGCCGCTCCCTTCAGCCGGGCTGGGCTAACACAGGCCGGCCACTTCGGCTAACTCCGAGGCGCCTGAGGATGCCTCTTCCTCCACAGGCTCGCTTTCCCTCCCGCCGGGGCCGGGGACCTGCCTCCTGTGCACTGGAGACAACCAAGCTAAACCACAGCCGGGCGATTGCTCTTAAAGGGGAATGCGTCTCCGGAGCTGGGCGTTAATTCCTGGGGTCCCCCGCGCTAACTTTAACCCCCTCGGAAACAGGGTAGCAATAGGGTCTCGATGGGGAGGATGGTTACCAAAAATAACCCGAATTTCAACTACACTTCGAACACATTTTGCTCTGAAACAAGCCCTATTTTATGAGGTTACATTTTTCAACAGGAAAGGAACTTTACTCAAGCTGCCTTTTCCAGTGGTCTCTCCAAGGGATCGGCGGCGTATGCCAAAGGCTTTAATAATTTTGCGTAATATTATTACAGAACATAAATTAGATTTTAATAGCTGTTTGATTACTTCAGGGTCTTACATTATGCAACATGAATGAACGCCAGACTCCAAGCCGCAGAACAGCTCAGCATAGAAAGGGCAGTCTCTGAATCGTACCAAAACTTTGCTCTTGGAGCAGCATTTGGGGGGAGATTGTCCCGAGTTCTTCCCTTTCTCCCCACCCCCCATGTGATTTAGTCTTCTGCTGCTGAGCATGTATGGTTCATTCCCAGCCGTGTGTCAGTCCCATTCAAAAAGAGAACAGGATCCCACAAACACAGAGCTCCCCAGCCATCGTGGGACACTTCTATTGTCATTTAAACTCGGAGAACAAAACAATAACTGGAAGAAAAGAAAGCTGATGTGGTTGGCTGCGTTTGAGAGGCAAACCTATCTGTACATGTTTTTGCTGAAAACAGTGTAGCCACAATCGGGCGCTAAGAGTCCTATTCCAAGGAGTTGGCTCTTCGATCTGCCTGTTTTCAATATTTTAGGTGGCTAGAAATCGGTTTGGCAAAGTCCAAGCTTTCCAAGATTCCCAAGCTGTGCCACACATGCCTTGGGTGTCTAGATTATTTCGGTATTCCTAGAAAGCCGCTTCCTGCCTATTAAAGGGGAAAATCCCCTATTTTATCTGATGTCTAATTCATTAAGAAAGCCCAGATGCTGGTCCACACCCTTTCAGCCTCTTACTAAAATCCAGCGGTAAGCAAGAGTTAAGTAAGATCAAGATTTATTCTTTTTCCTTGCAAACCCCACTACTAATATTTGTAGATTTGTTTGTGTTGATTACTCATTTAATACATTTTAAGTAAAGTCAGTATATGGGCTTTTAAAACTTTATTTAAAAATGTTCTTTAAGAGAAAATGAAGCTACCTTATGCTGTCTCTTTCACTTCTTCAGTGGTGTATATAAGCTGTAAAAAATATTTTAAGGATTTAAAGAATAAACGTAAATTTCAAATGTCATGACCAAAGGAACAACTTTAGATCTATGTTTGGGAATGTCTAATCCACCAGCATTCCAGTATGCGCTATTTTTGGTACCTTCTACAAAAACAAATAATGTAGAACATAAATATAATGAGTAAAACAGATGACAAATGTGTACTTTCCTGAGGAAAGCTGGAGGTATCTTATATTCAATGTAAACATATACCCAAGGGTATATATTGTAGAATACTTGAAAAGCTCACTCTTATTGTCACCACAGGGCTTTCCAAAATGTTATTGTTTTACTGGCACATAATGTGGGGGTTTGTTTGTTTTTAAAGGGATCTTTTGGGGGATAATTAACGCTATCATAACTGAAGAAATTTTATGATTTCAAAAAATTTACCCTAAGGTGATTTTGCTAGTTTTTAAAAACTGTTTTGCATATTCTAGCCACATTGATTTTCATTCTTTAGGTGCAACCTACACAGTTAAAGAAAGCCTTTGGACGTAAAAAGAACCAGTACATGCAGTTTCAACACATTTTATTATATTTCTGTATGCATTACTCTCAAAACATATCACAAGAAATGATGAAACCACTTAAACCTTCAAATAAAAAATCTGAAACAGTTTATGCTCACAATTGTACATATTTATAGTTAAGAAACATTCTTTATAAATACTGTTTCCTCTGTAGCAAGTTAATACCATAATTTAATTACAAATGGATAAATATGGTAACAGGTATTTACAGAAGGAAGGGTGTTATTAGGGAAAAGCTAACAGCACGACGTTTATTTTTCCTCACAATCTTCCAAACAGGAACTAACAAATTGAACTTGCAAAAGCACTAAAACATCACATGTAAACCCAGCTAACAGAAAAATACATTCACAAGCGTTGTTGTTGGTGTGTGTGTGTGTGTGTGTGTGTGTGTGTGTGTGTGTGTGTAACAGAATGGAGACTTTGGCACAGTTTTCCCCCCAGTCTATAGTTGAATTAAGTTTACAATCAAATTGCCTCTTTAAAAAGAACACAATATCCATTATCACAATTACAAAAGAAACCATTTTCTTCCACGTTACTTTTTTTTTAAATGGATGAACTAAAAAGAGAAAAGAAACGAAAAAAGTCCATCACTTTTTGGGGGTGGGGATGGGAGAGAATCAATCCGTAGTTTACAAATGGGACGAACTTCTATACACCAAGAATCGAATAAAACTTCGTTTACCACCTTGAAGGAGGAAGGAGGAGTCCTCTATAGACACAGCTGGTCGGGCTGGACGGTGCTGGGGCAGAGGGAAGGGGCGGGGGCGAGGGAACGGGACGGGACGGACAAGAAGAGTTTAGCTGTGGCGGATTTTTTTTTGTTTTGGAGGCTCTGGCGGGGATTTGCTCTCCTGGGCTCTAGAGCCGTTTGAGTTGTTAATCCTTTCGCTGGCTAAGAATTAAACCCAAACCAAACAGGATCCAGCACCTTCCCGGTGTGTGTCTGCTTCTCCCTCCTCCGCGGCGGGGAGGGCAGGCGCGGGGGCCTCGCTCAGCAGTCCGGCAGGGCCCTACACGTACCATTCGTTGAAGTTGGAGGAGAGGCCGCTGTGGCTCCCGCTGGCTCCTCCACCCCCGCCGGCTCCACTGCCGCTGCCTCCCCCACCGCCGCTGCCTCTGTGCACCGCAGACACCGCGGCCGCCGCCGCCGCCGCTGCAGCCGCCGCCGCCGGGGACAGGTTGGTGGTGCTCTGAGTCTCGGCGCTGGGGGACACCAGGCCCGGGGGGGTGGAGGACTCATAGCCCGAGCTGGCAGCCGGGGACGATTCGGAGCCTTGAGGGGAAGATTCATGGACCTGGAAAGCAAATGCAACAAGACAGGGTGGAGTAAGTGTCCCTGTGCGCAAGGCACTCCCAGCCAGAGCTCACACCTCCCTCGCAGGGCCAGCGCACTCCCAGGCACCCAGATCCGGCCTCCTGTGCCAAGCAAAGGCTCCCGGGCTTTACAACCTGGTGGTGAGGAGGCTCCTGTTTTTATTTCCCTTCCCAATAAAGAAAACGCGAGCTAAACCCTTCTCCCAGACCGACCCCCTCAGAGGATGTCAGCTGGCAACACGGCAATGTGTTATACCTTCATGTGCTTCCGCAGAGAGCTGGGGTGGGTGTAGGATTTGTCGCACATTTTGCACAGATAGGGCTTATCTGAAGTGTGGACATGCATGTGCTTCTTCCTATCGCTGCTGTTGGCAAAACGTCTGTCACAGCCTTCAAATTCACACTGGAAAGGCTTTTCTCCTGGAAGATAAACAATGAGGAATTGGTTATAGTAAACAATCAACTTGGACTTCTCCCCTGCTTATTGCACAATAACCCACAAATGCCTGCCTTAAAATAGGGGTACATAGGAAGATTTTTTCCCCCTCTTTAAAATTTCTAATGCTTTGTACCAATGTCAAATTCACTAAAATGGTTAACAAATGATTGATGTCACTGTGTGGATTGTTTTCTGATGACGCCTTGATGTGCAGCTATGAACTAACCACTTCGTTACTAACAAGATATTTTATCATAAAATACAAAAATATTGGAGCCATATCTCGCCATGGCTTTTTAAGCAGGACACCCCAGTGAAACCAGAAGGGAGTTCTCCGTCAGAACTGGTGAAACGATATGGCTCCAGTGAATTTACGGATTTGGTTTGGTTTCAACTGGTGCTATCCCACAATCGGCTCGAAAGCATATTTTAAAAAATCTAGACGTTTGCACCTTCATATAAAATCCAATATCCTGCTAAACTATAAACCATTAACAAAAGAGTTAAGGCTTGACACATTTTATTTCATGTATGGATCTTAGAAGTAAACACATATCCGCTGGGGGAAACTAAATGTCTGTAAAATACTCCAGTTAAGTTTCATACAATTTCTTCACCCTGTTGCCAGAATTCCAAATGCTCAGAGTAATTTGGAGGTGAGAACTCAAACATCCACCCATTTGGAGGGGGAACCATTTAATATTAAATGCCATTAGCACCTAAATTGTTTCTTAAAGACATCCGCTCAGACACAATGACTTAAGTGCGGGCATTTCATGCAAATACATTTCTCAAATTTTAAACCTTGTTAAAGCTCGTCTCGCACCTAGCTTCATTCTTAACACTTAAGAAAACAATTGGCCTATAGATCTTACCCGTACTCAAGTAAATATTTATAGTCTTAGATGCTAAAATATTTGGCTGTCTTTTCTGAAATACTCTGGCACAATTCGAAACCTGGAGTAATAGTAAATGAATAATCTATGAAGCAGGATGATGCGTTTGTTTTGTGACTGTTCAACTCACGCAGTTTACAACCAGGAAGTGTTGTGTCCTTCTCTCATATCTGACCTGATTTTTGTGTAAGTTTCTGAACCTCAAATCCTCTGCTACCTATTACATAATTTAATAAACTGTTGCAACACCAGCTTAAACAACCTCACGTGAGACTTTAAAAACACTTTCAAAATTAGAAAATTTTATTGCCCTCACTCACACCATTTAAATGTAATGAAAAGCATTCCCAGAAAGGGACATTTCGCCACTTACTACGAGATTTTTTATGTTTTAAATACCTATGCACGCACATACATCGAAGTCATATATAAATATGTACATTACTTACATATAATTATGTCAATCCATATTTTAATAGTATTAATGAATATATCTCGCCTGTATTTTACTTTGAAAGGGAAAGAGTGCAGTCAAGTCTTGACATGTTTCCACATTAATAAATGACCACAGAAATAAAGCAATTAGTTAAAAAAAATCCTTTCAAACTGAAAGAGCCGGAGAAAACACCCCGTGAAACGCTGCAGCACGCTGAAAATGGAAGTCTTTACACACGGGAGCATCTTTAAGTGCATTTTTTTAAACAAATAAGCCATTTTTAAATCTTCGAAACCAAACATAATTACCTGTGTGTGTCCTTTTGTGGATTTTTAGGTTTTCTGATCTGGCGAAAACTTTCCCACAGCCAGGAAAAGGACAGGGGAACGGCTTCTCTCCCGTGTGCACTCGGATATGATTGACCAGTTTGTATTTGGCTTTGAAAGGTTTGCCTTCCCGGGGACACTCCTCCCAATAACAGATATGGTTGCTCTGCTCGGGTCCCCCAACGTGCTCCACCGAGACGTGGGTGACCAGCTCGTGCATGGTGCTAAAAGTTTTATTGCAGCTCTTTTTGGGGTTGCTCAGCTGCTCGGGGTCGATCCACTTGCAGATCAGCTCTTGCTTGATGCACTGTTGTCTCATGTATCGAAAAAAGGCACCTGGGTGGTGATGGTGGTGGGCTGCCATGTTCATGCCCATATTCATATTCATGGGGCCATACTGGTTGTGCAGCTGAGCCGCCGAATAGGGATCAGTCCTGGGGCTAGAGACCTGGCGGTATTGATCCGATCGGGCGAAGACCTCCCCGGGCAAACCGAGGCGCATCTGCCCATTCAGGACATTTTGGGAGGCGTGGGGGCCGTGCTGGTCGTGAATGGCGGGGAAGAGGATGTGGCTCTGAGCGTCCGTGTGCGGGTGATGGAGGGTCCCGGCCGCAGGGCCAAAGATCCCGTGCTGGCCGCCGGCCGGAGACGAGTCCCCAAAGCCCCGGCTGCGAAACAAGAAGTCCCGGGTGGAGTTGAAAGGCGCCCCGGAATAGGAGCTGACGTGGGCGGCATGGGGACCCAACGCTGCCGCCGGGTAGCCGGGCGCCTGCGAGGTGAAAGCCGAGCTCTGGCCGGGGGACAGATCGTGGGCCCCGGGGTTGAGTTTAAAAGCCCCCATGTGGGCTGCCGAGTCCACAAAGGTGTTCTGCGCCGCCAGGCTCAGCTCCCGGTCCTGCATCTCGGCGGCGGCCGAGTGATGGTGCCGAGCGAAAGTGCCCACTCCAATGGCAGGGAACTGGGGTCCGGCGTCCAGCAGCATGGTCCTGCCGCTCCGCTCCGCTTCCTCCCCCGCGGCTGCGCCTCTTCCTTCCCGGGCACCACCCGGCAGCAGCAGGAGGATCCAGGCACCAGGCTTCCCCCCGGCTGCACCGAGCCGCAGCAGCAGCAGCCGCCGAGCGAGCGAGCCACAGAGAGAAGTGTCCACAGCCAGGCGGAGAACCAAAGTGTATTAAAGGAGCTGAGGCGGGGGCGGGCGGGCAGGGCAGAGGAGGGGGAGCGGGGGGGGGGGAGGGAAGGAAGGAGGGGGGGCAATCGCGTTGCCTTTCCCTGCAACACACACACACACACACACACACACACACTCACACCCTGCCAAGGAAATGTCACTGCCGCCAACCTCCGCCCTGAGCCCCGCACCCCCAGAAGAGCTGGCCCCTTTTATGCCTCCCTGCTCCCCCACACCTCGCTGGCTTCCCCCCGCTCCTCCTGTGGCTGGGGTGTCCCCTCCCCCCCCTTTTTTTTTATTCCTCTTCTTCTCGGCTTGGCATGAGATGTGGCTCACGTAGTAAACTCGCAGGAACGAATTCCCACAGATGAAGGAATCGGACGCGTCTCTGTCCTCGCTCTGTAGCCTCCTCTCTTTCTTTAAGTTGGGTCTGAGCTGGGGGGAGGGGGGGGGGAGGAGGAGGAAGGCGGGGGGAGATGCGGATTAAAAACAATAACAACAATAAAAAAAAAAGTGATCTCCCTCTCCGGGTCTCCGAGCCGAGCGGGGGTGGGGGGCTCGGCAGCAGGACACGCAGCCCCTGCAGATGCTCAAGCCTCTCTGGAGCTGGCTGGGGGCAGTGACCCCTTCGCCTCCTGCGCCTGGCTGCTCCCTCAGTGCGGGGTTTTATTTTCCTCCCGTGTCTCTCCGCCTCTGTTTATTTCGCTGGGCGCTGCGGCTGCCGCCGCCGCTGCTGCTGCTGCTTTTATTCCCCCCTCCCCCTTCTCCCAGTCTCTCTCTCTCTCACTCTCTGACTGGACTGGCAGCTCCTCTTCAAACGCCCCCTTTAACAGCAGCCCGGTCATTCGCCAGGCGCCCGCTCATTGGTCAAACGGGCCTCATCCATCCTGGCGTCCCCCTAAGAGCGGCTAATAGCGGCTCGCGCTTCCCCGGGCCCTTCCCGCCTCCCCCTCCAGCACTGAGGCTGGGCGGCGGCAGCAGCAGCGAGCAGCAGCAGCAGCAGCAGCGCCGGGCTCTATCCCTCCCCACCCCCAGCACAACCCCACCCCGGAGCTCGGCCACAGGGAGAGGCAGAGCGGGGCTGCCGCAGCTCCAGCCACCAAGTGCAAGCGAGGCTGGAAACGGGGGTTGTACTGAAACCCTTTTTTCGCTGTTTCTTTTTGCTGGGGGGATCGGGGGAAGAGGCAGGGGAGCCGCCGGAGCCAGCCTGCCGCTGCCCGTTCCGGTCTTCCTTCTTGGGGGAAACAAACGAGCAAAACAAGGCGCTTAAAACATGAACACGAGGGACCGACCTGCCAATACTGCCGCCCCCCTCCCCCGTTTCTCTCCTCTGCTCCAAAAGCAAATCCTCCAAATCATCGAAAGGGACACAGAAAAGTCAAACACACTTTTGATATCGGTGCAATTTCGTCGGCGGGGCTGGGGGAGGGGAGAGAAAAAAGCTCTTTGGTGTTTTAAACCACTTGTCTAGAGCAGAGGGATCAGACTGCCTATGCATGTGCATTGAAGAGCAGGGGCGATAGGGTTTGATGGTTCCTTTCTAATTTCTAACAATAACCGGAACAACAAAACTTGCTGCTGTGGTTTGAAAACCCTATGATTAGAGGGCAGGAATAATAATTAATTAATAATAATAAAAATTACTAGACACAACAAACAAGTCCGCTTCCCCTCCCCCTCCATGTCTGGCCCCTGGTTGGGTTTGTTTTGCAGTGGCTGGAAAATAATCATGTTGGGGCCAGTATCCAATAAACCAGGCCCTTTTAAAAAATATATTTGTAATACTGACCTTTCTACACTCAACCTGACGTTTTCACTCTAATCATCTCTGTGCTCACAAGAGAGAATCAACCCAAAATGTAGTGTTTTGTTTTTTTTTTTAAAGAGGCGGAATAAATACTCTTACCAGCGACATTCCTGTCACTCCTCACGTTATTGTGAACTGCACCAAACACAAGTGGACTTTGCAGGGGGGGGGGAGGGTTTTATAATGCTCTGTTGATAGATAGATAGATATTAGATTAGATAGATGATATTACAGTGTCTAAAGATATGTGAAATCAGAACGTTGCAAATAGCTTTTCTCCCCTGATTTGCTTAGATTAGGATCCTCCCCCCTCCACTAAATGGTTAAAAACAATTAAAAGCCTGCCTTGGAACAAACTGAAACATAAAAATATCGCTGGGTTTATTACTCTTCGTAAAACGAGAGGGTTTCCTTTATGAATAACAGGAATTCCTTCTAATCTAAAATGATCGTTAAAACCCACAAACTCCAAATGAATCTAAACATACCCCTCTGTTAGCTAAAACCGCCAGCCCTTCTTCCAAGCCGTCCCTTGGTCATGTCGTCTTACGTGGGAGTGCTGCTCCCCGAAATTCTCTTTCCAGACTGCAGAATTCGTGCGTTTGCTGTCCTTGTGATGACCCTACAGCCTATATGGCCAGACAGCGAACAGATTATATTGTCCTTTCTCGACAACATTTCAGAAACGAGGATTTGAGGGTTGCCCCCTGAATCAGAGCAAGGGAGATAGAGCACAACTTGGAGGTCGTAGTCATCTACAGTGTCTGCCTCCGGAAAACCAAATAATCATAAACACTGATAGCCACATATGCTTACTTATTTAGACCACTTTTCAGCAGAAGAGTTTAAAGGAAGATTCTGCATCTCAGAAAGGAAGAGCCCCCAAAAATGTCCAAGAAAAAATATTGTGTTAAACATGTTGCATAGAAAAATAACGTTAACATATCCAAATGCCTACTTTTCTTTTTTTCTTTCTTTCTTTCTTTCTTTCTTTCTTTCTTTCTTTCTTTCTTTCTTTCTTTCTTTCTTTCTTTCTTTCTTTCTTTCTTTCCCATTCCCAGATCACCCTGCTGCTGTATGCTGACTCTGCGGCTTCAGACGGCTGCGTTGGGACAGTTTGGGGAGAATTCGTTAATTCCAGCCGGAGACCCCGCAGGCTGGACTCTCTTTGCTATTCTTTCAGGGCTCCAGTTCTACAGTCTCTGCAGGAAACACAGGAGCTGATCCAAGTTCAAAGTCATGTCGCCGTCCCCTCTGAGAAGTGCTTTATTTCTCTACGAACCGCAAAACCCCTTTCCCCCATGTCATAGGGTGAAAAGGGAAAAAGAGAAAAAGAGAGAGAGAGAGGGAAAAACCCCTGCAATCGCTTTCAGGGCCATTGCCAGAAATGCAGACTTAAGCTCATTCTTAGGGGGAAGACAGCGGCCACTCAAACTCCCTTCTAAACTGTTTCAGTTAAATAAGTTTTTCAACAGGTTTGCGAAGGTGCCCGCAGAGCAGTGGTGTCAGACCCGCAGAACAAACAGCCGCCTCACGTTTCCCTCTTTGTAAGTTTTACGTATTTCTCTTTAAAACTGCACTGCTCTTACTATTACCGATTGCTTATGCAGATAGGGTGTGAGAGCAAGGGATTTTTCCTAACTTTGTGTATTGTCTTCTCTTTTATAATCTTCTCTTCCTAGGTACCAAGGTTAAAAAGGACAGTTGAGTATTAGAACTTAAACTCCGCTAGATTTCCCCCCCCCCCCCACTAGATTGCTGTCTATGCTGGGAAGTGTGGACTAGTTGTATTATAAAAGTTGATCTGGACATGTACATAGAATGTGTGGTTGTGTGAAGATCAATTTAAAGGCGCGCCTGTACCGTCTATTTAAATGCATATATACTAGGGTTAAGAAAAATGGAATTAGTGATTTAAAATAGAGATAAAATGAGCAAAATTCAGTATAAAATCCAAGCTTTGTTTCCCTATGGAGGGAAGAGAAGGAGTGTAGAGAGGGGAATGATGCTCTGTTTAACCTGAAAAGAACAGAGCAATTTAACAGAATCACTTGCACCGTTGTCTGTATCACAGACACTCATAAATTCAACAAGATCATCAACAGGATATTAAGTTGCAGGTTACCTTTGATTTTGCCGATCTTAGTCACTTCTAGGCCGTTCGACCTATGACCCGTGAAGACCACATGTGTTGTGTTGTAGCCTCCCTCTGTAAAACACACTTTGGAACAAAAGTTCTTTGTCAGAGTTTAATAGAAGTGTAATGTAAAAGAAAAGGGAAATAATGAAAATCTCAGCCAAAGTTGTAACTTTTAAATGCCATTTCTTAAAACCCACTACAACGTACAGGGAACCTACAAAGGAGCACCTTTCTTTCATACCATTAAAATTTATTGTTCTCTCAGTTGTACTTATAAAAAGTTCCTATATAAAAATGAATTTGCCAGTGATTTAGTGATGCAGAGTACAGTGGATTTTTTTTTAGGAATGAAGAATCGGCCAAGGAACAGCGAATACTTGGACAATATTTTTACAGTTGTTATTGTGCTACTGAATCACACTGAAGATTTATTTTGTCACAGGAGACACTCTGAATTCCCGACCAGACTAGGAGTATTTTTGTAACAGTAAAAATAAAAACACCAAAAACACTAAAAGCAAGACGTTAAACATGAATGTGTAATTTGACTGACATACCTTTTTCACATGGAGGTTGCCTTATAAATGCTAGTGACAGCAGAGCAGCTTTCCAATAAACTGCACTGTTATTGCGATAGACTTTGTAATACAATTTATGCTGTCATTCATAAATAACAATGCCATATGGTAACCATATTGCTTATACAAGTAAAGCCGTCAAAATGTCACCATTTGATTTATCTCAACAGCTTCTTCAAACGTTGACGTTCAGATATAGAGAAAAATACGCCAAATTTTTGACTAAATTTAATAGACACTGTGCCATGTAAAACACGATTTACTATTTAAAAAAAAAGTCTTAGGGAATAAATCAGACTATTAGAACTATTACATGCTTTTACTAACTGGTAGTGTATTGAAAATGATTGCTTTTCAAGTTTTGTTGCCATATAAAAATTTATTTTAAAAATATCATTGTAGTTCATTCACAATATGTTTACATTATAAATTCTCTCGATTTTTCAAAGAATATCATCAATCCTTTATCACAAAAGCATTTAGGACTAAGTGGATACTAGTCAATTAAATACACTCAATTTGTATTGTACCATAATGATGACTTCTACCTTCAGTTGGATATATGAAAAAGAGGCTATGGAAAGTTGGCGTTTATTGTTAACAGCTGAAGTTTAAAAGAGACACAGCATGTGTAAACTATATCCAGTTGAGCACTGCAGCAGGGGGAAAAATCTAGAATCCCAAAGTCTGCTGCTTTTTTACCTTTAGGTCATTTCACTACCATGTATTTATTGCAAGAACATATGACGTTTAATTTTAAACCCTCGCACGGCAGTGTGACCAAAAGTAAATCCTCCATGTTCCTTACTCTTTTGTGGTAACCAAAGAAGTCGTACTTCCAGAAATCATTGCTAACAGAGTCCTTTCAATGACTGACTGTACTGTGCATTCCACATATACATCCATTCTGTAGCACCAGCGAGCAATCAGTTTGATCGCATTTTCACGACCTTGCAATACCATCCAATACAACATTTAATAATAAAAAGGCGTGTGTAAAGGGAATCCTGTTCTGAAAGAAGCAGAAGGGCCTGTCATGTATAAATGTGTAATCGTAGGTATAATGTACAAACAAATCATACCTTGGCTTCTTTTAGTCTGCTATCTGAATTTCGGGGAAGTGATGGGGTGTGAAACAAGGCATGTGTGAGCGCATGGATAATCTTCATGTCAACAAATACTTTCCGTTTATTGCCACATATGTGCTTGTCAGGGTTCTTTCCACTTGTTCTGTTGGTCTCAAATAATGATTACCCATATACTTCACCCATAATGGGGCTGTGACTCTTCCTGCACACACACGTTTTCTGATAAGAGTTTTGAAACCATTGGTGCATCAGCCTTGAACTCTGAGGACTCCACCATTATTAGTGTGAAGAATCTACCATGGAATTAATACTTGAAACCATTTCCAATCTTAGTCTCCCCTCGCAGATACATTCTGTCGCATTTTCAATATCTTGCCTGTCAGAAAATAAACCTGGCATAAAGCACGCCTGACTGACGATCGGGGGATTTGCGTTGCAATAAACATGGATTTTCCATTCTGAACGTCTTTTCCCTTAGATCAAGAACAAAACTACAAACAAAGCAAAGCTGCCAGGAAGCCGTCCTGTTCACTTCCTTTATCGTTTATTAATTACCTACATCCATCGGAAAGAAACTTGTATCTGTTCAATAACTAAGGGTGTGCAATCAAGCGTTATGCTGGCGCCTCTGTGAATACAGCCTTACAAGGCGCGAGGTAATGGAACGGGGGAGCACCTTACAGGAACGTGGGGCCGCCCTGACAAACACACCACCGCATGTGTATAAAACTTGCAGCGGTTTAAGCAAATCTGGCGCTGAGGAAAGTTTTGGGGTGTCTTGTTGACTGTTTTGCTAAAAAGTAATCCAATTTGGGGGGGAGGGGGAAGGGGTAATCTACTTTGGTTTTGGTCTACTAACAGGTTTTAAGGACTTGTTGAGAAAAGCTTTAATGTTAAGTGTTCCCCAGAAGGTTTATATGTTATAAAATATTGCTCTCTTTTCCCTAAATATCAATAAGATGTGCGCTAAAGGCGATCGTTTATAAACGGTGCTCGTGCTCATTAGCATATATTTACATAATGCAACGATAAACAAAAAAATTAAAGGAAACATTAAAAAAGCCAAGGTAGTGATATATTTTGAAGTGGAGTCTTTAAAAAATGCTTCAAGGCCTAATAGAGTTCATTATGACTTTTATAAATTGCCATCTGAACGTTTATTTGTAATATTTGTACTGGACTAGTGATTCACCTGTTCACCAGAGTTTAAAGGGCCTTTTGGGTTTCTAAAACTCTCTGGAGATGGAGCTGTGCGTGTGTATGGATATGTGTATACCCACCAACATGCTGTGTCTTCGTGATTTTCTGTGTACTCACACACATATAGATAAATATAGCACAATATGTATCTTGAGGACAATTTAGGCCTCGTATGAAATCATGTGAGTCGTCCTGGATGGTAATTAATTATTTTTTTTTCAGTTCCTGCGTCCAAAATCAAAGTACCTGAGCAGTCGCCTACATCTTCCATGGTTTATGTTTACTCAGAGATTGACTCAGAGAATTTTCATGTGATCATTTAAACGTCTTTCTTGTCTATCGGCGTTTTTCTGACGATTGTTTAACCATAACATATTTTCTTTATTTTACAGTCCCCGTAAAATGAAATTGATCAGGGAGATATATTTGAATTAAGACATATTAAATCGATGACAGATACATATCATGCTGTGTTTAACAAGAGTTGTACAAGGAGGCGTGTACAAGATACCGCATAGTTGCGATACCATTATTCACGTTTGCAGCTTCTCCTCCATGCATTCGCCCATTAAACCATTAAATCTCAGTAATTCAATAAAACAAAGTGCTTAGAATTTTTGTAAAAAGCTATTTTGAAGAGAAAAGGTTTTACTGCATAGTAAAAACACCAAGTAGCCCATTTTAAAAGCGAGGGGTTGTTTATTTTTGTTCTTTTCTTCTAACCTGACTAAAGTCCCGAAAGATCTTCAGGCAAGTGCTGAAGCTCGTTTTTGGGGCAGGTTACAAACGCTTTTTGCAGGTATTCCTGAGTGAAACAAAGCTGCAATACAGTGCAAGCGCCAGTCTGATGTAGTGAAATGTAAAGTGAACCCTTGTGTTTCTGAAGTGATTATGGTCCAAATTGCGCTCCCCTTGCCCACCCTCAAGCAGGAATCGCAGAATCACCACAGGCTTTTCTTAAACATGTGCGAAAAATAGACGAGCAACATAACCCGAATGATTACCTCATCGAGAACACTTTTGTCAGTAGCACTGGTTAGATAGGGATACTCTGAACTAAGATGACAGTTCTCATGTGATCCCCAGTTCAAAGTTTTCTCTCATAACGTTAAAAAGGAGAGTTTCTTACTTGTACATGTACAGAAAACTGAAGGTTACCTGCAATGTTTTCGTTTATTTGATTTCTGTATCTAATGACCGCTTCATTGCGCTTAGCTTCCGCAGGGACAGGTCACTAAAGAAAGCAAATTACACTGAGTACAGAATGTACGCCAAGTTTAGCACCGAGTATCACAGTCATGCTAGTTCTTGCTATTTTATATCTCTCTGCTTTAGAAGACAGTAACTTCTTAATTTTATTTGGTTTGCAGAAGAATTCAGCACAGCTTTCCTTGTAGCACACCAAAATAGGGACATCAACCTTTCGTGTTCAAAGGATAGTCTTTTCACTTTATAATTTATTAAGAAAAAGTTAACAGATAGCCTAGCAGCGAATATGTCTCAACTTCGCTTTACTTTCCAGGACCACTATAAAAATGTTTAAAATCTCGGCCAAATTACGTAAAAAAGCCATCTGATTAACACAACCACAACGTTTCAACCTAAAGGAAACTTTCAATATCTTCTTCGACTGTTGTGCACCTGTTTATAAAAATCGATAAGAACAACCAGTTAATAGCTTCCCTTTGGAAGGTTTCACAGATTGTATACAGCACAACGTTCAGAAGGTCTGAGGCTTTTAAATTTTAAGAACAAGCATCATGTAATTTATCCATTCTATCAAACTTTTAACGCCCTAGAGGAAAAACTAAGACATATCATTATTTTATTATCTGTTGACTTTATCGGCTGTTTTTTCATCGACTCTTCATGTATTTGGGAGTTTTACTGAAATGGTGAGACATGAAGGGACCGATCTAGCGTTTTCTATACAATATGCTGATTGTGGTTTCTCTGCAGAGCCATGTGTAAGTGAAAAGAGTCTCAGATCCGCTTGTATCTTTCCAGCCACGTTATCTGAGAGATGTACCGCGCAGTTATGTTGCCTGCTGGTGAATAGTAAGTGTTCTATATCTCTGTATAAAGCTCGAGGATACACGTTGAGCAGACCCTTCCAAAACTCGCTTCTACCATGTGCAACATGCCTTTTATTTTATTTTTAATGAAAGAAATTACAGTTTTAATATGTGCCGCTTCTGCAGTTAGTGTCTTAAATACTGTGCTTTATTCTGTAATCGGTACTTAGAGTGTAGGTTTTGTCTTCCAGTGCTGCATCAAGACATTTTTTCCCCGGAATTTAACAATCTCCTATTCAACGAATGGCTTGGCTTCTTTAAAGAGTTGCCCGAATCACCGTTCCAATTGGCAGCGTTGTGCTGAACAGAAGAACCCACGAGTACAAACGCCTGCAGCCTGAAAATAAACACAGAAGCACATTGCTGAGGGAGCCGAATGAGCCGTAAGGGGGTGTGTGTGTGTAAGTTGTAAAATCTCTTTCCCAGAATGGCTGGGAAGCCCAGTGTCCCGTGATTGAGCAAGTGTGTGTGAGAGCGTGTTTGATCCCAGGGCCTTATTTCTACAAGGCGAGCAGCCGGCGTGAGACGCTTGGCTTTGGCACGCCGGCTGGCACTCACAGGTTCAGCGCGAACTTTCGGCCCGCCCAACTTTGGGAAAGACACCGGAGGGGGAGAGCGCGTGAGGGCGGGTTCCCGCTGAGCAGCCGGCCTGAAAGGGAGCCAATCGCGCTGCCCTGGCCTCTGCCAATCACTCGGCTCCCTCCAATCCCACCAGCGCCATTTCCAAACTCTAGTTCCCGCTGTGCCGCTCAAATGTGGTGAGCGCTCTGCCAATCGCTGGAGGACAGAGTGGGGAAAGGAATAAGCGGAGTTAGGAGCGGAGACAAAAGAAGTTAAAGAGCCGCTTAATATATACATGTTTTTGAAGGCGGGCAGAGGGAAAAAAATAACAACAGTGAGTGTAGATGGGCTGGATTGTGTAGTTATGGAGCCCCCTTTGAGCAAGAGGAACCCGACACTGAGATTAGCGGATTTGGCAGCGGCTCAGCCCCATCCTCATCAGACTATGACAGGCTTCCCGGGGCTGGGGAGCCACCACGTCCACTCCCACCCCGCCGCTCACCTCCACCCTGGGGAGATGGGCAGTGACCCCAGCGTGGCCCTCACGCCATTCGGACCCGAGCACATGGCCCAAGCGAGCGTCCTCAAACTCAGCCCCGCGCAGCCTCTCGCGGCGCATCCCGAGGCGCAGACAGCGGCCGCCTTCGCCTCGCCGGCGGCCCAGAGCGCCGCCGCCGCCGCCGCGGTCAGCAGCTACCCGGCCGGCGCGGCTCCCCCGGCTCCCCACCCGGGCTACGCCGCCAGCAGCGCCGGCACCAGCAGCGCCAGGGACTTCATCCTGCGGAGGGAGCTGCCCGGCGCGGCCATGCACGGGGCGCTGGGGGAGCCGCACCCCGCGGCCAGCTCCCCCCCACCCGCACCCCCACCACGGCGTGTTCATCTCCGCCGCCGGCACCTACGGCCCGTCGGACGGGGCCGCGGCCCACCCGGTCTTCCCGGCGCTGCACGAGCAGCCGGCCCCCGGCGGGCACCACCCGCTGAACGGCCAGATGCGCCTGGGGCTGGCGGCCGCGGAGCTGTACGGCCGGGCCGAGCCCTACGGGGCCGCCTCCTCGCTGCACGGCTACGGCTCCCTGGGCTTGAACGTCAGCCTGGCGGCGGCCAGCCACGGGCACCACCCGGCCCCCCACCACCACCACCCGGGGGCGGCGGCGGCGGCCTTCCTCCGGTACATGCGGCAGCCCATCAAGCAGGAGCTCATCTGCAAGTGGCTGGAGCAGGAGCCGCCGCCGCCGCCGCCGCCGCCGCCCAGCGCCGCCGGGAAGCCCTGCTCGAAAACTTTCAGCACCATGCACGAGCTGGTGAACCATGTCACCGTGGAGCACGTCGGCGGGCCGGAGCAGAGCAGCCACGTGTGCTACTGGGAGGAGTGTCCCCGGGAAGGGAAACCTTTCAAGGCCAAGTACAAACTGATCAACCACATCCGCGTGCACACCGGGGAGAAGCCCTTCCCCTGCCCCTTCCCGGGCTGCGGCAAGGTCTTCGCCCGCTCCGAGAACCTCAAGATTCACAAGCGCACTCATACAGGTGGGTATTTCCCCCGCTCCTTCGGTGGGGTTGTTTTCTTTTCCTCCTCTCATCACAGGGCCATTCAAACATGTGACTTTTTTCATGAATAAGTAATTCAGGAGCACCCAGGGCACGTTCACACACACACACACACACACACACACAGACACACACACACACTGACTCTCTCGCGCACACACACACAACCGCACAGCCAAACCCTAGACCTGCAGCAAAAGGTTTAAGCCGATAAACACCTAGAGCTAGGAAATTAGGCAGGGCCTGGGAAACAGCAGGCCCGGAAGGAGGAGGTGAAGACCAAGGCCAGTCTAGCCAGGCCCCGCGTGGAATATGGGGAGAGGGGGTCTCCCACTGCAGACCAAACCCCACCCCACCCGAAAATACCGGGTGGGGTTTCCGCTTCTGCGCTTCTGGAGGGAGGAGGGGGGCTTGTCCCAGGTAGGGTTTCAACCGAAGGACACATGGGTGGGTTGTCCCAGACAGAGTTTCATTTGAAGTGGGGGCTGGGGGTTCAGGGGGAGCGCAGTTCCTCTTTAAATTAAGCCAACGTGTTTGCTAGGAGCGGTGAAAAAGACTTGACTATAGGGAGTGTCACTGGTTAAATGCTGATCGTTTGAAGGTTCCAAGATGAGTAACATTTGGCGCAGTTTGGTTTTGTGTGTGTGTGTGTGTGTAAGGAAGTTTCTTATTGTAGTTTTGAGGAGGAAACTTCAAAGCAGCCTTCATTTCTTCACAGCGCAAGTTGTGATTTTAAGAAGACGCCTAAGCTAAACGTGGGGAAACGGACAGCCTTCACTTGTAAGGAAATGCCCAGTCAGACTGGGTCCCTCACTAGGGTTTTGTTTATGGGACTTGTGTTGGTTTACATATAGACATTTTGGTTTAGGTTAAAAAAAAACAAACCTCCGAGGAAAATGAACGAAGTTGGGATTGATAGTTGTAGACAAATATTATTCCTTGGAGGATAGTTAAGGAAATGGAGTTTACATAATTGCTTTCTTGATTTATTGTGTGTTGCTGCAAAGAGAAAAGCGGACAACGTGCAACGTGTTGTTTCAATGTAAAGCCAAATGGCCCATGGCTGAAAGGATTATAGATTTTATCTACAGAATATGTCAGGCAGAAGCCCAGATGTATGCGCAGAGAGATGAGGACAGCTAGCCCTCCCTGCCCTGGCAGTTCAGTTTCGAGCCAGGAAGGATTGCTCCTGCAGGCAGGCTGACAGCTTTTTGTTAATGGCATTGCGGCCCGAGTGAAATGCTGGAGGCATTTCCGAGAATCCTTGTTTCCCTACCATGTTTTTGTAATGTATCTGTATCCATCTGTCGCGATGATTTGGAAAACAAAACTTAAACCCGACACTTACAGCACCCCACTAGCTCCTTGTCCCTGTCACAGTGCAAGCCGGTGGGGATGGCCCCTGCATGTTAAAAGGGAATGGTGCCAAATTCTAAAAATATGATTTGCAGCTCGGGAGCCTTCTCATATTTCCAGTGCAGTGAGCAGAAGGTTGGAGTGCGGTTGGGGAGGCAGGGAGAGAGAGCGGAGCAGGCTTATTCATTTATCTTTGTAAAAAGAAACCCTAAACAACAACAAAGGGCGGCCCACAGAGCACGTTTCCCCTTTTGCAATTAAAAGGGCGCTCAGATTTATGACTCGGGAAGCGCATTCCCTTTCCTACGGCTGCTCTCAACTTTCCCCGGGTGGGAGCCCCGAGAGTAACGGTCGACAGTGCACAAAATACAACGCCGCTGGAAACATCGAGTTTGGGGACTTGAACCCCTTCGCTGCTACCGGGACCGGTTAAATGCTGGGTTCCGCTGGGTTTAATTCCCACTCTGGCGTCCTGTTTACAAAGCAAGGGGCGATTTTCGGTGTCCACTCTCCCTAACTGTTGAGCCCAAGGATGAGGCCCCTTCTCTGTCTTGTCCGACGGTCCGCAGCGGATGAGGGAGCGGGCCACGGCTGAAGATAGAGGCGGCTGGGCCTTGGCTCTTGCAGCTTCTCTGGATAGTGGCCCCCAATGCAGAGCAGAGAGACATCCAAATGCAGCTGTAGAAACTTAGGGAGGGAGCCGCAGAGTGGGAAACACGCAGGATCACTGGTCTCTGTGCACTCCAGTCCGCAGAGATGCACACGGTGCGGTGTAGCAGCTCTCACACACGCGTGCAGAAGTAAATACAAAGATACACAGAGAGACTGGTCTCTATAGATACCGAGTGGCACGTAACTGTGCATAAATATACACAGATACAAAGACACACAGAGAACGATATAAATAAATATACACATACACGCACACTGGGAGAGAGACAGAGGGAGAGATCGATATAAATAAATATACCCTAAAAGCACACACAGAGATACAAACAGATACCGAGCCCCACACCCAGAGATGTGGAGACAGAGAGCGCGTGCGAGCAGCTCAGATACTGGCTCGCACCGAACAGTGGCACAGAGAGAGAGAGAGAGAGAGAGACTGACACACATACTGATATCAGAAACACACTGACACACATACACAGAAGCCACCGGGGAGGCCATTGCAGACCAGCAGCCTTCGGGAACGGAAGAAGGAGGATGCAACAGACAAACTGCCCCTTCTGGGCTGCAGCAGAGAAAGAAAATCTTCCCTCCAGCATGCTGACGCCCGGCCCAGGGAAGGAGGAAGGGGTGGTTTTCAGGGCACTCGGGCCAGGCTGCTCTTTGGCAGAAGCATCTCATAACGTGCACACACATGTCTGCACAGAAGATATATTGACCTGTTTTAAAGACCTAAATCTGAAAGTCAAATGAAAAGATCAGATAATTACCGTAGCCTTGTGTTTTACCACTTAGCTCTAATTCAGCAATGTAAAGTGCTCTAAGGATTTACAAATTATTCATTCTTAGTGTCACTGTTTAAAATAACCACAGTATTTTTATGTTTCATTATTAGTGGATTTTGTGCTTTTCTTATAGGCCCCCAGACAGGAGAAGTATGTCTATAATTTGGTTTCCCCCCCGCCCTTCTTAAGCTGCGCTGGACAATATGATCCCAAACTATTTCGGTCTAATAGCTTAACACTGTAAAGCGTAACTAATCCATTATCTCAAACAAAATATTTTATTGATCCCCGAAGATGTTTGCTTCATCATGTTAATGGAACATATGGATTAAAAAAACGGTGGCCCCTCAACAGGAAAGTGTTTAGCATTATCACTCTTTGGCAAAAAAATAAACAAATGTTTTCACAACTGTGTTTTTTGCACAGAAAGAACTTTGCAAAGATGCACTTGTGTATCTTCAAATCCTTTTCAGCTAGCAGTGTTAAACTGGAGCAATCTGCAAATGGTTAAACTCTGACGTAAAGTCTCCGTCAGAGCACCAAATATATTTGATCACGGCAATCTAGGTGTCCTTGAAAGAACCATTTTCTTTTTTTGAAACACCGATGGAACCAATTTTTAATAACTATTTCTGTGTCTGATGCAAATAGTACAAATCAGTTTATCTGTCAAATAGCTTTTCTTAAGAATTTCCGGAATGCACATTACAGTCGGCTATGTAACCCTAATAGTTTTGTAAAACAATACAGATGTAGCGAAATTTTCCAATAGATTCGCTATTTTTCAGATAAAATGAACAGATAAAGGTGACTTCATCTATGTTGTGAGATCCTTTTCAGTGGGAAGTGTGAGCGCTTATGTGTAGACGAAGACTGCATTTAAAAAGTACCAGCGTGGTTTTCTTAATCAACATAATTTCTGGGGTAGGAGAGAGATAGTAGTGTTTGTTTTGTGTGGAGCTAGATATTTGCTGATAATTGTGACTAAGCGCAAATGTATCGGAACGATTTCAAACTGAATAACTTGATTTGGAATTAGAATATAGAAAGAAATGTTTGCATAGCATTAGCAAAAAAACAAAACAAAACAAAACAAAAAGACTATCAAAAGTGTGCTTGTTTTCAATTCATATTTTATTGTAAGATTCTATAATTATACACAAAGTACTGACTAACAAGGTTTTCTCCAATAAAACTCGAAGTGCTTCCATTGCGGGGGCTAGAGTACATTGTTATTTTTGAAAATGTGGAACAAAATACATATGAAAGTATGCATTAGAAATAATATGGCATAAAACTTCAGCGTTTTAAATAAATGTTTGCAGTAATGGTGTTATGCATTTTAGAGATATCAGATTCACCTGTAATATGACAGAGAAAAAAAGTTACTCTTCTAAATTATATTCCATTTGTAATAAAATGATATGGCACATTTTTCCCTGTTATCTCAATAATAGGCATTTACACATCCCTGATTCAAGAACTATGGGAAAGAGTTTATCTGGAGCACAGCTATATGTAACAAAATACACATGAACCAAAGTATTGTATTACAGGACCCGGTGGAACTTAAAGGTATGCCAGACAAAAAGGCCTGAGGCAGATTTTCACAACCACTTTAACTGTTAAGCAATGCGTAAAGCTATTAAAATAGATTTGCTATAGATTTTTAGACACAAATTAGCCTCAGGTAAATAGATACCGTAATAGCAGTCCACGGTTGTCATTATTACTGTCTATTGCTATTACAGTATATTATTCTCACTAACATGCAGGTTGTGAATAAAGGTTGATAGATATTGGTCTACATTTAAAGTATGGTCTGCAAAAATCCGACGTTATGGTTATGTGCTTAAACAGGTGTTATTTGTATTTCCGAACAGGAAAGATTCTCCACATACTATAAAGCATTGTGAAAGGATTAGGACAAGATGTGCCAGTCTATAGACAAAGCCACCCCTAGATGATAAATGTATTGATGGGGGTAGTTTTGTTTGTTATATGCATCATTTGAATTTTTCATTTGCAAGAGAATTTTGTGCATGAAAAAAGTAGACACTTTATGGTGCTGTCTGAGGCTTTTTGAAAATCATAGTTAACATTTCACCGTTTACAAAATATTATTCATTTGACACTAGTGCAGCTTGAACTCTCCGGCAGGTATAACCTTATTTCCCAGCCATATCACGAGTCTCCTCATGACAAGCACAGAAACGATTTGCAGTGAATTTTTCCATGGGGACCGTGTTTTATAAGAGCTGTGAAATGTTCCACTTAGTGGTGTTGTTGTTTGTTTTTAAACTAACCATAGCTCTGACCTGAAATTTAAATGACCAAGATTTGGGATTTCTCCCCCAGAAGATAATTATTAATGTTTTCAATTGTAGGAGAGAAGCCTTTTAAATGCGAATTTGATGGCTGCGACAGGAAGTTTGCCAATAGCAGTGACAGAAAGAAACACTCCCACGTCCACACGAGTGATAAGCCATATTACTGCAAAGTCAGAGGCTGTGATAAATCTTACACGCATCCCAGCTCTTTAAGAAAACACATGAAGATACACTGCAAGTCTCCACCACTTTCTCCTACCCCTGGATCTCACGGTTATCAGTCTGCAGGAACCCCCCTAGGTGCTCCCCTGTCCCCTGCCCAGGACTCAGCCAGGGGCCGCTCTGCCAATCTTTCCCCTCAGGTCACCAACCTCAATGAGTGGTATGTCTGTCAGGCCAGTGGGGCTTCTAATAACCTTCATACACCTTCCAGCAATGTAACATCGTCTGGATCTGAAGATGAAGAGGCTTATAGAAACTCTGATACCAGAACTATCCATTAGAAGAAAAACAACAAGAAGAAGTTTCTGACTTGGGAGTACTTGGACCATTCTCCTGAACTGTAATGACACAAAGCTTGAAATAAATGGATGGCATAGAATTGCCATCATGTTGAATCACCACTATTTATTCAGTATATAAAACCCTATGGTGTTTGTACACTTAACTAATTTAATTAAGACACTTGGACCTTTTTATAAAAAATAATAAATGAAAATACCAAGCTGGACTATCTCAGTGAACCAAGTTGCATGTTTGCAGGTATGGGGAAGATGCCAAGGGAACTCAATGGACAGATCAGTTCATCAAGATTAAACACTGCCAATGCCAACGCAATAGTTCCAAAAAGAGAGAGAGGAAGAGTGTTCATTATGTAGCCTGCAAGCTGATAGGGCCTCTCCATTTCCTGGAGTGGCTCTTAAATACTTTAGATATAATTCTGGGGGCTTCTTAACAGCTTGAGTAGGCCCCAATTCCGCAATGGCCTCTTAATTGTAAACCACCACTGCCTGCTGAATTTCCAACAAATCGTGGACTGGTTACATATTAAAAAATGTGTTTTTTCCCCCGCTTTCAGTTCAGATCTTTTGTAATTTTTGCTTTTTATTCTGAGTCCTTAGGTTTCACCCAAATCTGATATTTTATACCTAGGCTTGTTTCCTTATCCCTTAGCTGTATACGATGTGAAAATGGTTTAAAAAAAAAAAAGATGCAGCATTTCTCTTAACATTTCTCCACAATTTTGTACTGTTATGAGTCTTGAGACTAAAATGGAGAATAAAAGAAAACCGCTGCTATCTGACAACTGTGATAGTGTGATTTTTTTTAAATATAGCACACAAAATTCAAAAGTGAATTCAGTCCCTTTTAGCAAAGTTTGTTTAAAAGAGAAGATCCTGCATCTTGCTATGTCAGACCATGTGTGTAGTAGAGTTTGTTGTTAGGTCAAAAGAGCTTTGGACATCAGAGCCATTATTACTTCAAAATCTTCAAGTATGAGAAGCTGTGACACTGTTGTGAAAGCAGATATTTTAGACCGATCAATCTCCTTTTATACCATTGTGGATACTCATTTGAAAACGCTTTATTTTTTTCAACATCTAAAACCATGATTGTATTCATTCTGCCCCCTCCCATGCAATCCTCAAATGACCATGTGTCGTGGTCAGTTACATTAAAAGAGGAAAACAATTGTCACAAATATTAAAATCTAAAAGGTTTGTAGTTGGAGAAAAAAAAAAAGCAAAAAACCAACAACAAAAAACAAAACTGATGAGTGCATGACCTTTGGCATAGCTGTCAAGCTATTAAAGAAAAAGGTCAGGGAACTATGACGATAACTCTTAGTCAATTTATTTGCGGTTGGTACCACACATTTCCCATGCAAAATGTTAGTCCATCATAAACATCATACAAATAAACTAAAGAGCACTAATTTATCCTCAGAGACCCTGAATACATAAACAGGTAGCCTCCCCTCCCACAGGGTTTGTAGAAATTTGTTTTGTGTGCTGTGACTGGTTGATGTAGTCTTGTCATTGTTAATAACTTGTATCTGACTGCTATTATTTTGTACAGTTGAATTAATTTATTTTCGGACATCATCCTTTTCTGGAAGAGTACAGAACACACCAAAGAATTATATTATTAATTTTGGTGATAGATTGTTGTTTATGATTCCGTGGTTTGTTTAAAAAAATCATTATATTTTTCAGCTTACTTGAATGAACAATGTAATGTGAAAACAAGCTCTTCCTGCATGTCTTCTGTGCAGTGTGTTGGTGATGATATATATAGTTTATAGAGATATTATATTATTAGTACAGTGCATGGTGCTGTCAATCTGGAAGCCTTTAAACGTTGTCTTCATATTGTTATGGTGAATTTAAAGATACAGACATTCCTTAAAAAGCAACAAGAAAACTTGAATAGAAAATAATTTTTAAAGTTTATTTTATTTGCTTTTTTTCACGTTCAAAGCCCGTTCAAATAAATAGAAAATGATAAAGTAAGGTATGGACTTTTTAAGGATAATTTATGTAATATAATCTTGTTAGAAATAATTTTCTTACTGATTTATAACGAATTGTTTAATTTATACAAATTTTCAACAATAGATTGCACTATACATTACTACATTACAGGGGTTTTAAAATATGAAACTGAGGGATAAACAACTATTTTTATGTACTATGCCACACATAAGGTCACACACTTGCCCGTTCATTTTATGACACATGATGCCTCCTAAATAAAAACGCCCTTCCATCTCTGTAAACCCGACCATAAGAAATCAAGAGTGATCATCAAGCAAATAAATAAAAATATTCTTTCTATGTATTGCACGTGCTTTACTGATAGATGAGAGATAACTAGAGAGCAAACACACACATACAGTGTGTAGACAGATAGGTAGATACTTTTGTACTTAAGGTCATAGCACGCCAGTGAAGAACAATAATATAAATGGTTAGGATATTTTTCTTGGTCTTGTGAGATACTGTGATTATATTCAGCAAAAACACAAGTAAAGAATGTTTCTTTTTGTTATTTAGAGTCGAATTTCAGTCAACAAATATGTGTATAAACAGGGAGGTTCTAACTATATATATCCATTTTTCATCGTCAATTTCTGCTATATTTACTCTCCTGAGTATTTTCCCACTTAAGCCAACCGGGCTAATCGCTTGAATAAAGGGAGAAGAATTGCAGGATTTGGCTTCTAATAATGAAACAATGACACATCCTACGAATATCTTTACGTGCAGAGACAGGATATGTAGATAGATAGCTAGAATGATAGATAGATTATATGCACTATATACTATGTTACATCTCGCTTCTGCAGTGAGAGCTAATCAAAATTGACTATTCCAAGCAGTTAAAATACTAATATTTATTTTGTTATAGCTTGCTGGGCCTTTCTGACAGTCATGACAAATAATGCATGCAGAGTATCGAATGGTTTAATTATTAGCTATCCTGGCATAAAAATGGTGCTACAGCAAATTATTCTGGACTATATAAATATTCTCATAACATTATATTAAATATATTTATATATTATATAATGCTATGGGATTAGGTCAAAGAAACTTCTAGCAAGCTGTATAAAATATATCGCTGTATTTCAATGAGTTTCTGTGCAGAAAATGAAAACTGAGTGAAAGCTACTGTAGGAAAAAACCTTGATAAAACTATTCTATCTGTACGTAACTATTATTTGAGATTTTTTTCTCTGTTTTTATTTTTTTTAAAGCTAGCTCAGGAATTTTGAATGTGATGTCCCAATACTTGAACATGACTGGTTAAAATGTCAATAACAGTTTCACCAAAAGGTTATAGTGTTTTTTTAAAGTCAGTTTTGTTAAATGTGGTAAAGGTGAAACAGGTTGCAAAGAGTTGTTTCAAGCAGAATGACAATAACCAACATACGAAGCAGAAAAACACTCATAAATGAGAGCTCCAATCAATGGGAAAACTTATAGCTCTCTAATGAAGTTTCTTGTGAAAAGGAGGGCAACACAAAGCCACCAAGACATGAATCATTCATGGGAAATATAAAAGATAAAAGATATCTGACAATGAGCAGAATCTTGTATAGAGAGTATAAAACAAGTTTCCCCTTCTTATTTTCTGCTTTAAAACGCACAATCTCCCACTCCTAGTGTTCTCTGTCCAGTGTATAGAGTTAAAATTGACCAGTGCACGTCCTGCGCCACTTCAAAGTAATTTAGCCCAGAACGGAAGGCTTGGCGCTTGGACAATCTTCATGGTGTGTTAAGATTTCTATGGCAATTGGCAAGCAAGACGTTCCCATCTGAATATGTCTCAAAGAAAGCCACTTATTGACACTAAGTTGGCCATCATCAAAGACTTCATCTTTTCTAGGCAAAACGTGTTCCTAACAAACACTGTTTAAATCATCTACCTTTGTATTCAGATCTGTGAGACATTTCACCACACATTATTATTTGCAGAGGTTGTTCAGTTCTTTGAGAGGTAAAGCAGTGACACCAAACTTTAACAAAGTTGGAAAATTCTTGAGTGTGGGAAATTACGTGTTAAGACGTTATGGGGGCGGGTGCCTTTGATAATCACGTACAACATAGTAGCGGCATTGGCAATGAGGTATAGCTGTTACAAACTCACGCGCATGTGCACACGTGTGGCACTCTCACCACATCCACGTCCAGTTTGGTGGAAGAATATGGCTTTGGTTTCAGGGGAGAAATAGCCAGCGCTTCCTTTACACATTGTGTAGGCAGGACTGTTAAGACAAGACGCTGTCAATACACTTGGAAACATGGCCTGCTGTTGCCTCAAGGAAAATACTTCAGGTACTCCCTCGAAAGAAGGCTGGAAAGTATTCCAGGAAACACACACACGTCAACACACACAAAGTGCTACAATCCTACTCAGGCACACGGTCGTCTTGTCGTTTCCACACTAATTCCAAACCCACCTCTTCCTATCTGCCCACCTCGCTACTTATATGCCCCCGACCCCATTACCGGAGCATCTGAGCCCCTTACACCCCCCACCCCCGTATACTGACATGAACACACACACAAATACACTCACAGCGCAAGCGCCTAATCAGGCAGGGAGAAGTTCAAAGGCAGGTTCTTTGAAATTCAAACTACTGCTTTTATGGTACATCAACATGGAGCGTTAGGATTGCTATGGCAATGAGGACAGCAAAAGCAGGCTGCATTGAAAACAGTCCACCTCGATTCGAGACACTCTATTAAGATACAGTTGCATTGACCTTTCGTTTCATGCCGTGTTAGTTCAGTCAATTTTCACTTGATCAGAACCTCTCATATTTTTTTGGCTTCCATCCTACTCTTTTTGAGGCCCTTCACAATCGTGGCCGGCTTAAATAAACAAACAAACAAACAAATGGAAAGAAAGCGCCCTCCCTAGCTCCTCTTCCCCCCCCCCCCACCTAAGCACTTTTATTTGCAGAGCGATTGTTCTTTGTTTATTTAATACAAGTACTGTGTGAATGGTGAAAAATAAACACGATGAAAAATAACCAAACAGATGATTCCTCCGAGTGAAAAAGCCCGGACTTAATAAAAGTGCGAAGCAGTCACCGTTGAATGAGAAATCCTTTGAAGTGGAACTTATTATAGGAGGAATACTTTTTGGTTGCCCTAACGACGCTGCTGAATTGAAAGGGCTCGCCTTTGTCAACGATTTGTTCTCCTTTGCTGGGATGCCCGTAGAAATTACTTACATGGGGCTGCCTTAACATGCAGCCTGCAAATCAGTAACTTCCCAGCTCAGACTTGCAGACGCCACTCTCCTAAGGACAAAAAGAAGTCAGGAGGAAAACACCCCAACCTTTCACTCAGCTTCTTTTTTGGGGGGGTTGGGAATGAGGGGAGGAGAAGGAGGTTGTGTTACAATTCGCCCCCCCCCCCGGCTCGCACACCCCCCTTCCCTCCATACACACCAGACCCCTCCCTCAACCAAACACACACACACACACAGAGAAAACGGGACCCAGCTTTCTCTCCATCCCAACCCAGAGTGCAGCCGGAAGAACTCCACCAGGTCTCTCGCAAGGCGCTCTCTGTACTCCCCACCCCGACCCTCTTTTTCTGCCCAGTGATTTTCCCAGGCAGAGCCATATTTAATAAGGGTCGTTTATTATGAAGGCGCTTTGAAGGGTGGCCCCTGAAGCCCTGTGTCCATTAAAAACATGGAGGTGACATTTAAACCTCGTTGTAGAGGAGCGCCGGGGTAGTTCAATGAAAGGCAACTCGTTTGTCTTAGGAGCTTGGCAACAGCCTCCCCTTCGCTCCTTTTGACCACATGGCATAACTCAGAAACAATAGTTCAAAAGTAAAATGGCACCGTGGCGTTCCCTCTCCTACAGGCACCCATCTAGCCCCAGAGAAAAGGAATGGTCCCTCGTACAATGTGCTTTTTGTGCTGGGCTCTGTCACAAGGATGCCGTTGTTTGCTTTGGAGGCTGCGCCTGTTATCCTTCCTTGCAAGTGCTTATGTTAAACAAGAGTTATAAGTCATCCAAAACAACAAACATTTTGATTTTCTTTGCCTAAAGGGCTTTCCCTGGCTATGGGCACCGTGAAAAAATAATGTACTCGCTGAGAAAGGAGCACCAGTGGTAGCCTTACGAGCACAGTGCATTAAATATTGAATGGCAGGAGGGGAAAAAAAGAGCTTGTCGAGGGGCACTCAGCCTTAAAGTCTTTCTTCAACTTTGTCGTCGGTGCCTGTTGGACTATTTAAGATGGTGTTAATTAAGGCTGCGCCTGATTCCACTAGACTCCAGCTTTGTCTCCTTGCAGAATTCCTGTCACTAGCCCTCTGCACCCAGAGCTCTCCTCACACGTCGGTTTCGCGGTGCGTGTGTCACTTCTGATTGTGAAACTGAAGAGAAACCCGCATCGTACATTGAAGAGAGCCTGGATATAGTAATCAACGGGTATTATAGGAATATTAGGGCGGGAGTGGGGTGGGGGGAGAGTGAGCGAGGGGGAAGATTGGATGGTGTTAGGTCCTGAGTTGAAGTCAAACAGCAGCAAATGGCGTAGTGGGCGCAGAAAGCCGAAGTGAATGGCTGTGTTTGCACATTTTCAAGAGCCTGTTTGGCAAACAAGAGACATGCGGGCTTAATTTGTTTCAAATTAATCGTCAGAAATGTCCCTCCCCAGATAATGGAAACAAATCTGAAAGAATGTGCTAAAGGATTCGGTGTCCCAAACAGTCCACCCCTATGCGACCATGGGCAGTCAGAGAATCAGCTCGTCTGTTGTGCAGGGAAACAGAAGAGGCTGGAGATGATTTTCAGAGTGAAAGCTGTAGGCTTGGGGTGTCACCAACTCAAAACGATCTGGGCAGTGTTTGGAATAAGTTGTTGTGGACCAGGAGAAAACGCGTTATTCCCCGCCCCCCGGACCGCGACCCGTCTTGTTTTACATAAGAAGCAATCGCGCAACCAGCGCTCCAGAGAGTTTGGAGGAACAGGGCGAGTCATCATCAAATATAAGACAGTATTGTTTCCGTGAGGCACCCTCTAAAAACCTGAACAAAACGAACTGCCAGTTTAGTGTAAACTAGTATGCTCTCACACAAAAGTGAGGCTTAGTCTATAAATATCCAACCTAAATCTGAATACAGAGGTAGATGGGAGAGATATAAAGTAGACTGCAAATATAGGGCGACAGACACAGCAGCATCCCACAGTCCTATAGAATATAAAGTGTCCAGCAAAAAAGGGCAAAGTGCAGGGTTATATCCCTTGTTGGAGGAAGCACTAGACGAGGATGAAAGGGACATGCCAATCAGTCCTCCCTTTCTGAAGCATCGCCTGCGTGCTAAACAAATACAAACAGACGATGTTAGAACTCAAGGACATTTCTTTCTTCCTCTCTAACTCTGGTTTTCACACCCACAAAGGAGATAGATATTGATTGTTAAGAGAAAGGGGCACTAGAGGGTCTTTGTGCCGCGCAGAGTGCGAGAGCTGGGGCAGCTTTAGAAGAAAATAAAAAAATGCAACTAGGATCACAAACATCGGCGAGGGCTCCACTTCAAAACTAACTTTTTGTAAACTTGGTGTTTAAAAAAAGGGAGGGGGGGAGGCAAACAGGGCTAATCTGCCAAACCCCTTCTGTCCCGCCAGAGTAGCAGGAAGGAAAAGCCAAACATGGGTCTTCAAATGAAATCGCTGGGGTTTTTTTGTTTTGTTTTTTTGTTTGTTTTGTTTTTTTAATTTCTGTTTCCCTCCCTCTCCTACTTTCACACAACTGGCCGTTCACTCCTTTAAGAGCTCCTAGTGGCCTTCCAAAAAGAAAGCCCTTCAAGGAAAAACGGGCACACATTCCCATTCCAGGCACCTTGCCAAAATCTTCCAAGCACCCTACCTGGCATACTAGCTTAAGTTTCTTGAAGAAGTGGGGGAAATTACAGTCGACTTGTAGTAGTTGAGACAAGTTCAGTGCTCAGCTCCCCCCTCTCGAACGAGACTCGGGATCTCTGTGGAAGGCGCCCAGTTGCGAGCCAGCCAGGCTGGAGGTTTGAGTGAGTACCCGTCAGCACTGCCTGCCTGAACTGGGGGGACTGGGCGGGATGCGCTGGGGGGCTTGGGGAGGGACCTCGCAGCCGAAGCGGGCCACGGGCCGCAGTGGAAGAGCTCAGCCGGTGCTCCGGTGTTACTGCCCGCGCTTCCTGCAAGGGGGCTGGGGCCGGCTGCTTGGGATGTTCGGGGAGCGGGTCCTGATGCTCCAGAAGTCAGCCTGGAACAGCTGTGACTTCACCTATTAGCCCCGATGTCTTTCCGAGGAGATTGGTGGAGTTAAACATCCCACAATGGGCGCTCTGGGGCGTCCCCAGCCTGACCTCTACCCGGTTTTAATAGTTTCATAGGAACTTCATTAAATCAATTACTTAGTGAGCACATCATCATTTATTGGTAATTAGCACTGAAGAGCTTGATTTTTGCAGCAGACCGCAGCCCCGGTTCCCAGCGGGGTTGGCCATGTACTACAAGCACTTTTGTTGGCTGGGTGTGTGGACTCGTGGTATTACTCGGCCGTCACACTAAGAGTGTGTGAGCCTCACGTCTTCATCCAGCGTTCCGGGGGGAAAGGACAACAGACAAGGCGCGGGCGAGGAGGCTATTCCAACCCCCACCCGTCCCCACCCAACCCCACCCAGCTAGGCAGCCCAAGGCGTGGGGCAGGGAGCGCGCGTGTCCCTCTCCCCTTCCTTCTGCTGGAGCAGAGGAAGGGGGGACAGGAGTAAGGGGACGGGAAGAGCAGGGGAAGCAATGGGAGAGGACAGAGAGGTGGCGAGAGGAAAATGGAGGGGAAAGGGAAAAGCAGGGGGGGAACAAAGCGAAGAGGGGCGAGGGAAATGGGTCATCCAGACTCAGGACGAAAGGGAACAGCGAGGGGCCCCGAGGAGCATGGAATAAGCATCGCGGCTGCAAGCCAGAGCCAGGGAGAGAGTGTGTGTCAGAAGCGAGAGCAACAGAGGAGAGAGAGAGCCCGGTGTGCGAGAGGCAAAATGGTGCTTTCTCGGCAGTGCACGTGTGTGTGTGTGTGTGTGTGTGTGGGCTCGCGGGTGTGTGCTCTTTCCCCTGTAAGTAGCAGATATTCTCTGGGTGTAAGCTAGTTCCCTCGGGTGTTCTGGTTTCGCTCGTGGGGAAGAGCTAACCCCCTTCCCCCCAGGAATGGCACAAGGTCTCAAGAGGCTCTCCAGGCGGCGATTCTGTTTCTGATGTACCCTAGGGACCCCCCCAGCTTTCCAGGCGTTCAGCGGGACGCGCCTGCCTCTCCGGAAAGGAGAAACTTTCCGAGTGAATCAAAATTCAACTTCAAACTGCTCCGGAACAGGAGGGAAAAGGAAGGGGTTGCTGCGGGCTGCTGCAAGGAGCGGAGTGCTGGTGACAGGGGGAGGGAGGGTTAGAGGCAGGCTGTAGTCACTGCCCATGTGTGGCTGAGCCGTCTGTGTGGGGTGGGGGGTACGTGTGTTGGGCGGGGGGCGTTGGATTTCTTTGGATAGATGTTTGCATGCAAGGGCATGTAAGTGTGTGTGTTTCAGAGTAGCAGCCGTGTTAGTCTGTATTCCCAAAAAGAAAAGGAGGACTTGTGGCACTTTAGAGACTAACCCATTTATTTGAGCATGAGCTTTCGTGAGCTACAGCTCACTTCATCGTGTGTCTCTGTGTGTGTCTGTGTGTGTGTGCGTGCCAGACACTGACTCGGTGGCTGGCTCTGGGCGTGTGTTTTTACATATGTGAACTGGGTGGTTTTGCAGGCATCTGGCTGGCTGGACGCCTGTTTTTGGCACCCACTGGGACTTTTTCTCTAAGCCTGTGCTTGTCTGTCGTTGCCATCATTGTGCGCATGTGTCTGTCGGTTTGTCTAGCCGTGCCTCTGTGTGTGTGTGTGTGTGTGTGTGTGTGTGTGTGTGTGTGTGTGTGTGTGTGTGTGTGTGTGTGTGTGTGTGCAGAGCACTTAGGAGAGCTGCCTTTCCCTCCAGCGCGGCTGGTAACCCGGAGAATTCACACGCCTTCTCAAAGCCTGGTGACACGATCGCTCAGCTCGGCCAGCCTGGCAGACACTGCTGGCGAGGAAGGAGCTGCGTTCAGCACGGAACCCCCCCCCCCCCAGCCCCGTGCATTTTAACATTTCCCTTTTTAGAAGATTGTAAAGAAAAACATATCTAGAACCTGCCACACCGCGCTACACGCAATAACATCGCCCCTTCCCCAGCCCCGGGAGCGCATCTTTCCCGTGCGCTCCTGCAAGGAGAAACGCTCAGAGGCAGGTTTAGCGTAATAGCGAGGAGGTCCGTGGTGCTGGGGGTGTATGTGGAGGGAGGCGGGGTCAGAACAAACAGCAGTATCTCAGGGGCCACAAACGTGTCCCTGGCCAGGAAAAGCCGTATTGATCTATCGTAATGCTGCATATTTCGCTCGATCTCTGCACGCTCGAAATAGACCATTGACCAACTCATAAAATAACCCACCCACCCTCGCACTAACCTGAAAAGGCGTGTTACTGAAAACCGTAGTCAATCAGAAGACTCCCGACTCAAAATCAGGTGCACCCGTAACGAGAAATATTAATTTATGAAAAATCAGATACAAAACATTTCAAAGCCGGGGCCGACAGAGCGTATACGTGTGTATATAGCCTCACCCTGCTATTAGCCACACTATTCTTCAGGTGTTGCCCATGTTGAAACGATTAATCTTTACCCATACAAGTGCTTTTTTCCCCCAGGCTGAGGAGCTCAGCCCTTAGCTACTTAAAATCGACAGGGTTAATGAGACTTTGACCTTCTTAAAACATTGCAATGAACAGGGGACGATTTTTTTTTTTATCACTGAGGTGTGATGTAATGTTCATTATCTTTACTTTCTGACCTAATTGCTTTTAAAGCCTACTCTGACTATGAGTTGGCTGTCCAAACATTTCTTCGGTTGTATTTCATACATGACAGCTGTGTATCTAACCGCTTTATAAATATGCAGCCCGAACACCTCTTTTTCAGGGTTGCAGAGTAAAAGCCCCAGAGTCTGGTCCTAATCAAACTCCGTTTCAGAGTTCCGCCTGTCTTGAGGAACTTTGTGATCACCTCCCTGCACAGTAACAAAATCTGTGCTCTTCTGTGTATAAAACCCAATTCCTACTCGCCTTCCTCAAACTATCGCTCCAGTTAAAGGGATCTGAATCAGAAAAGCAGCATTCGATCAAGTACGGTTACATCATTATTTATTAGGAAAGAAAATACTTAAAGTAGAAATACAATAGTCATGTTAAAAATAAATATAAATATAAAGTTATATGACTGCACATATTCAGAAAATATTTCAAATGGGGGGGGGGAAATATTTTACATTATTTCCCCAAATGCAAACCAAAAGACATACATTGAGATGCTGGAATATTTGGAATATCGTTACACGGCTATTTATAACATAAAACAGAAAATACTGTACATATAAAAATGGTAAATGCTGTTTGGGAGCTGTGTATATGCCAGTATTTTAGTAGTTTCACATCATTTTTGAGGGAAATGATCAGTTTTTGGGGAAAAAATCATGGTGGATTGAGAGTAGCCAAAATATGACTTTCATTATTCACTTTGTATACGTGTTCTAATCTATTAAAATTTCAGAAGAGACTAATAATTACATATTGTTTTATTTTAATAAATGGTGAACGAAGAAGGGACAAGCCTCGCCTGACACCTTTTGTCGAAAACCCTTGGTTACAAATCCAAACGATATAATTCTCAAAACTACTATACAAACCGAAGTTACTTTGTCGAGATCGCAAGGACTGCAATGCCGAACCATTCTTTTTGTAAGGAGAATATGGTAACATGCGGTATTAACAAGGAGCGCACACGACTGCAGCCAGGGAGGGCATCATGTTCAGTGAAATAAAGTTCATTTTGCTCGAGAGCTCTTGAAAGACGAAAACATACAGCTTACAATTAAAACGCATTTTAGTGTGCTCTGTTTAAACGCCAAACCTATTACCGAAGCATAAATCAGACCAAGTCTTTTAGAAGATAAAATAGTTACTGAATATTTGGCAAAGGTTTCTCCAACAGTTTCATTCAAATGTGCAAGACGACTTTCATTGAAAAGGCATTTGCAGAAACTAAACCTTTCAGACTGGCAAGAAAGGGTTATTTTTGTCTAAATCACAAAGGTGAGGTATAACAACCAAGGAGGCCTGGCCAGAATTATCCTTTAGGATCTGCTACCAGACACTTTTTGCTTCAGCTTTTGGCGTCCTGTTGCAAAGTATTACATTGCTGGGCTAGGCAAGTCCATGGAGTTGACCTTTCCAAATGCTGCGAGTTTTCACACACATCTTTCTAATTGTGGAAGTTGCAAAAACTTGAAACTATTCCTCTTCCTTGGTCCTTCGGGCATTATTTTTACGTGTGAACAACGGTATAGATCAGTTCAGCATCAGTGTTTCCAAAGAATTTTGTGGCGTTAATAGAGTTTATGCTGGTCTGATTTTATAGAGAAAGCAGGTAAAATGTTATATAGCCCAGCGCCAGAAAAGACGTTTGGCTAGAAGCCAGGAATTCAGTGTATCAAATTTCGTAAGTGAAACGAGCTAGACTGTCTCAGGACTAGGACAAAAACCAAAGCAACGCAGCAACTAACCCTTCCTTAATTCGCTGGCCACATGCACACACACCCTAGGCTGTGCGTACGCTTTCCTGTCCCTAATCCTAAATAATGTCTAAAGCGTCGCGGCGGAACCGTTCACACGCTAATGCCGTTATCCAAAGCAGGTTGTGCACGTGCCGGGAGGGTTTTATGAAAACGTCAGGCGCGAGCACTTTCAAAGCCCTGGTTTGTTTTACAGTCAATATTGGATTTTATGGTAGGTACGTTCGCCAGAAGGGCGTGCGCGCACCCCCACCTCCCCAGCCCGCCTGGCGGAGCCCTGTTTTCATATTGCTTTCGCGCCCGGTATAAACAAACTGTGCTCCGGGTTCCAAAGGCTTGAACACAACTCAGCGACCCTTTACTAACAAAT